TATTTTTAGAGGTGCCAAACGTACGAAGCGTCTGACTTGACAATTTCTATTTTGGCATTTTCCAGCAAATTTCTTAAAGTCTTTCCCTGTCTTCATGTTGGGTTGTGTATGTATATTGAGATGGGTCACTGTTTGTCAAAAATGGCTGTTTCGCATATCATTGACCAACTTAAGTAGATTAGCATCGGTGACAACACTTAACTTGTGTCAAGTGTCAACTGTTAGTGAATTACTTAGTTGTGAGTTTACAGATAATTTTTTAGAAAATGAGATTTCAAATTTAAACTGCAGGAATAATATGCGTTGTCATGTACTTGATTTCGGAAAAACCACGCACTTCATCAAATTGATAAAACTCTAAATGGTGTACTGTAACGGGAAAGTGTTCATTAGCGGTGCATGCCTCCAAGTTATCGTTAAGTTGGTTAAGGTGTTGATGGAGATTGTTGCAGGCAGTCTCTGTAATGCCCAGCCCTTGCTAAACCGCAGTTCTATATTTTGGGACCGAATCTGGCGGTGGTCCTACATTTTAGGCATTTCTTCTTCTTCTCACTTGACTCTAGTGTCCTTTGCCGATTTGTGCTGAGACCCAAAAAACCTCACCTGATTGCCTCTCTTTAATTTGGATTGCGCCAGTTTACTCCGCCCATTGAGTTCGTGAGCGCCTTTGCTTTCGTTGTACACTTATGAGGATATTTTAGGTGAGATAATGCAAGTTGAGGTTATCTGGAGTGAGCTGTGGTGAATTGAATGCGGTGAACAACATAACTTAGCATAACAAAACATAGCACAACATAGCACAACGCAATACATCATAACATAACAACATTCGTCAGTCTTATATCTTCCTTTGTCTATCTCTATCTCGATCACTTTCTCTATCTCAATTTTTGTCTCTATCGTTTTTGTACTTTTATACCTGAGCCCACTTGTGCCCAAACGTATAATAACTTTGTTCACAAAACTATTGTTTGTAACCAGTATTGGCGTTGAGAATTTTCAGAAAGTCGCAAAAAAGGAGTCATTGCCGAAGAAAATTTTTATTTTTTTTTAACCGACTTCAAAAAAGGAGGAGGTTATTAATTCGTCGGAATATATATTTTTATATGTATGTTACCGCAATTTATGCCGATTTCTATAATTCTAAAATTTTTTAAAAGAAAGGCTGTACCTCATAGGTGGTCCCATACTAATTTGGTTTAGATCCGATAATTTGATCATGAGAAATTAACGGTACTCTTAAATTTATATATGGGAATTGAAGTTGGTTTTGTTTTTTGCACCCAACAATCGAGTTGCTGCTGCAAGGAGAAGAGTTGCATTCCCTTTAAAAGTTTGAAGTGATGCATTTTTTCGTACTCTCAGGTGGAATATTTTTCAGTAGCATGGTTCTGTTAACATTTCCTAAAAAAAACGGCAACACTGTTTGTAACAGCCAAAACGAATCGAGATAGATATAGACAAATACATATATACATAAAGTCTCAGAATGAAAAAAAACAAAATCGATTGAGTGGTGACTGTCTGTCCGTCCGTCCGTCCGTCCGTCCGTCTGAGCACACGATAACTCAAGTCAAAATTGAGATACCTTAACGGATTTTGGTATGTGTACTTCTTTTGAGCGTAGGACGAACGGTAATGAAGTGGGTAAAATCGGACAATAACCGCGCCTCTACCTCCCATATAACGCTAGTTTTCAGAAATACGAAAACTGTGTTATTTTAGTAACTACTGAATACTCTTCACTCAAAATTGACATTTACAATTAATTTTAGGCGGTCTTTATACAGAGGCAGGTAACAGCTAGTTAGTTTCTGCGAAGGAATACAGGCACATAAGATTGACCTGGAGCCTTCTAAAACGCCTGTAAGAGTCCTAAGATGCTCCCAGCTATGATCAAAGAAATCTCTCGGAGTTCCTTCTGGAGGGAGTTTTGAATTTATTTCATTGCTTTATACCCTTTGACTTCTGTCACTGGGCAGTAATCTGAGATTCTACCCAACTGCTAAGTAGTTGTAGAGTGTATTATTTTGTTGTTGTTGTCCATCCTCGAAGTATACCATATGTACCTGAAACTAGTTGTCTATCATAGATATTAACGCTTCACAGCAGTCCGTTTTAGGAATACTAACCTTGTAGGTTTTGTCAAAGGATAACTTCGGTATCATGATATCTGAGATCTTCCAGAAATGGCTTAAAATCCCCACTTTTCATGCTGATTACATTGGGCAGCTATATAGTCCCCCTGTAGGCCTTCTTTTCGGTCAGAATAGACAGAGCAGGAATGCTATTTATTTGCTATGGTTTTGGCCGCCAGGCCAGTGCCGCGTATGTAACAATAGGTTTCACGATAATATTGAAAGATCAATACTTTAGTTTAGGTGATATTCCCCAGATTTTGCCATGAGGTCGCTGGCTGATATAAAACTTCCTGATAGCTTTGTTGGTAGTATTCGAGAGATATGAAATCCAATTGCGTCTTTTCTTAAGAGTTACCCTTAGATACCTTGCCGCTTCTGAGAACTCAATTTCTGTCCCTGGCAAGGTGGGTCTAGTCAAATAGACTTTCCTTCATTTGATAAATTGGACAACGGTGAACTCCAGCGGGTTAATTGGCAATCCGTAATTAGCAGTAATTTCTATTTTAACGCCTAAAATCGAACTCCAACCGGAAACGCTTACCGGATCGGCCAGCGTTTGTGCGACTCAACATCGGCCAGATTAAACCAACCTGTATCTGAGCGCATATTTCTATGATTTCTTTCCTAAACCATTTCCAGTTGGCCAGTTTGGGCGATTTTTCTGCAATATTAACTGAACATTGAGCTTTAAGTGCTTGTAAGACAGTATGTCCTTCATTTTACGATTATTACCAACCATTTGAATTTCCACAAAACTCACACTTGAGAATACTTTTCAACTGCTAAATGCTTGAATTTTGACACTAAATATACAAAGAGTATGAGTGAAGTATGTACTATACAAATACACTCTGCATACTGTCTTTTGTTTGCTTCGTTATTCTGAACGTGTTTTGATTCTGACAACAATCCAAGCAGCAACACATGTTTACTTAACCACGTCCTTTTTTTTTTTTATTTGTTATCCAACTCAGTTCAGTCCAGCCATACATTCTCTACGTGCTCATGTCTTCAATATCCCATTTATTTTGTGTTTTTTTTTTTCTTAAGTAGTATATGACTCGTTGCTGTTGCTGTTGCTGTTGGGTTTTGTCCTCGCCATTGGCGAAAGTAATAAATTCATTTTTGTTTTGTCTTCGTCTATGTCCAACGACTGACTCCTCCAATATCCTCCTGCTGTCGCTGAAACCGCCTTTTCACACTTCCTGTCCTGCTTCTCGTTGTTTTGCTAGTCCGTTTTTTTCTTCGAGCATGAGTTGTGTTTTAATATTTTCTTGTCTTTTATATAAGCAGCTCTATAGTATATTTTTGTCTTGCTGTTTTTTTTTTTGAGTGCCAGCGTCGGTTTAGCTATTTGGGTATTTGGGTTCATTTCAGATGTACACTTGCTGTATTTGTTGACGGTGGCGATCTATGTTTTACATTTGTTTGATTGTACTACATAAATAGTATGTGTATATGTGTACCCACGTTTAGGTCAGTGCACGTGTGAGCTTCTCTCAATGCCAATGATGATGATTATGTCAATAATATTCGTATCCCAATGACAACAAACTACAAATTGGTTGAACAAGAAATCGCACCAACAAAAGATTATGCCGTTTTGATTAGACGCCTTTAAATGTATTGTTTCTTTGCTTGCTTTGCCATTTCTTTGAATCATCTGGGACCAGCTAATATCTATTTACTAAAGGGTGTTTCAATAAGAATGCGGATTTCGTTTTATAAATTAAACGCAAAAAAAATGGTCGACATGATTTTTTTTAGGCTCAGCTTTTTGCGACATTGGTAGCCGGTACTAAGAATTCGGATTTTTATAAATTAGTAGCCGGTAAAAAAAACCGATTTAATTTTTGTTATAACCATATTAGCACGACATCCCCGGTTTTCCAAATTTGTAATATTAAAAATTATATTTTCGCGTTTATACTTACGTTTGCTAAGTGTTTGGGCGAGCTTCTCGTCCGATTTGTGGCGTGCGTCCTCATGTAATAACACAAATGGTAACCGGTACTAGAAGACCAGGTTTTTAGAAACTGGTAACCATTAAAAAACCTTTTCAAATCGAGAGGTGAATCATTTTCTCCTCATATGATATAAGATATTGCAAATAATAAATATTACAAAGATCTGCATCACCATTCAATCACCCTATATTTACTCGCTTTCGGCTTTTACTAGCGGCCTTGCTACTGTGGTAAGAATTTTCTCCCTGTTTTGTATGATTTTCAATTTCTATAGGCATTCTCATATGTATGTACATTAGGGTGATCCAAAAATGCATGGGGGGGGGAAGTAAAGTCCGAATATTTATGCTCTTACCCCCTAGGATTGTTCTATACCGAAAAAAATATGCCCCTATTCATTATTTCGAAGTCAAAAAAAAATATTTAGAGGTCGCTCAAAGCGCCCAAAATTTTCCATCTATTTTATATGGGGAAAAAACAACTTTTCGTAGAAATGGTTTAGAATAGTTAAAAATCAATATTTTTCTACCAGAAAATTCTGTTTATCTGCAGAAGATTCCCAGTAATAATAACCAATTCTTTACTCAATCATTTTTGCATCGCAACTATAATTTGTAGGTCCGCCAAAAACCCACAAAAATCTCGAAAAATACAAAACGGGGACCAATAAAAAATCGTTAGTATTAAAAAATAGTTAAATAAATAATTGGGTATTATTATTGAAAGTCTCCTGAAGAGAAGCAGAGTTCTCCGATCAAAAAATGTTGATTTTCATGGATTCTATACCATTTCTAGGAAAAGTTATTTTTTTCCCCATATAAAAAAATATGGAAACTTCTGAGCAGTTTGAGCGATCTCTAAATATTTTATGATTTCAAAAAAAAAAAAAAAAATTAGGTATACTTTTTTTCGATATAGAACAATCCTAGGTGGTGAGAGTATTACAACTCCGACTTTACAGTTTTTGGACTACCCTAATGTGCATACCTATGTACAAATTTACAACTGGATGATGTTCTATTATTAAGGCATTATTAAAGTTTTGTACATTTGCTCTGGAGTATATCAGTCGTAGGTCGCACGCGGTTATGATTGGTTTTTTTTTGCTGTTTTTACTTTGCAAAAATATTTTTTTTATTATATTAAATTGTACGAGTATTACATTGATAAATATTCCTTAAACATATTTTGCTCTTGTAGTAATCCTTGAGATTACTCTATAAGCTTACGCATTTGTAAATGATTATTTATGATTAATTTGTCATATACTTCATAAATGCCAACCATTTGTATGATAAAGTCTCGTTTCAATTTGGATTTAACTCACTTGACTTCATGCAGTCTTCGTACATTCCAGTATGATGTCTTGCTTATGTCTTGTATGTATGAGTTCATATCCACATGCTCTTGACCTTAAGGACGGGTAGAAAATTCATGACTTTAAGTTATATTTCTTCTTTTCTTAGCTCACTTAATTTGGGTTATCTTATCATTGAAGGCGAGAATCGAACCCAGCGTAAAAATCTATTGATGAGAGGGTTTCAAAAAGATGCACGATTATATAGTCGGCTGTTTGCTTCTAGAATGTGCCCACATGGATTGCTCATGTTTCCTAGGGTGTGCTGCTTTAAGATTGAGAATTGAGTACAAACGAAAAACTCCAACGGTATATACAGAAGCCCCATTGCTGTGACGCATGTAGCTACATAGATCTATTGAGTTAACCCTTAAGTTATCATTCCAGCCATAGGCTGCCCACATTCTTGACGGAAACGATTGCAGTTCGTCAGGGTATATACAGTGGGAAGCAAAAATAAGTACATGGTGATTTTTTTTTTAATATTTGCAAGGTTTTTTAAGTTGAAATTATTTTGTTATTTTTTTTTATAAAAATATGCTTTATGCCTTAACCAAAACCATATAAATTTTTCTGTCAAACTTTTTCAGTGCTTAGAATAATTTGACAAATTTTTATCAAAATTTCAGCTTTTTAGGGAGCTGGTTATGGAGTTAGAGCTTTAATTTTCGTGGGGCAACACATTATTGTTATCGATTTTGTTGTAGCATATCGAAGATTTGCCAATATTAAACCACCATTTGTGACAACTCCCGCTGAATGTGAAATTTGCAGAAAAGAATTTCTATCTGGCAAGTCTTTATTATAGCTTTTATTTTATTTTTAGCGCCAAACGCTTAAAAGAGAATTGTGTAGTCCCTATTGGGAAATGTGTTAATACAAATATTTTTAAAAAATATGAATATTTTTAAAGAAAATTGTTTGCACACCCCTATCATGTAAGTGATTTGTGTTATTTATTATTACCCTGAAGGCATTATATTCATTTTAGGTTTAAAAAACTATGTTATAACAAGATCTAATTTTTTAAATAAAAGATTTTTTTAAGCCGATTTCATGAATTTTATAAAAAAAAAACGTTGGCAATTTTTTGGCGTTTTTTTTCGAAATAGCTCTTTTCTTTTTAAAAAATCTGGACACCCTGATGGAGGGTAATGCGGTATTTTAATACCTTAACTGACCTATTGTGTACCTCAAAGGGCGATTTTCAAAATTTCCAAACAAACTCATACAAAATCTACAAGACATAAACTTTCTATTATCCAAGACTTGACAAACGAAACACAAGACTTACATTTGCAATATTTACAGTTTTTTCTTTATAAATAATTTTTTTTTAACAATTTTTTTTCAATTTTTTTTTAATGTTGATTTCTTGCAGTCAAAAAAAAAACTTTAAAATTTTGGATCACATGTTTTATGCGACTAACAGATGTTGTAGACTTGCCAGAATTGAAGACACTCCTATACGCGAAGTTCCCCTACTTAACCCATTCAGCTCCAAAAAATTTCCAGCAATTTTTAATTTTTTTAATTTTGCTTAAAATTTGAAAGTATTCAGAATAATAACGATACTCTTTTGCTTAAAGTTATGAAATATGTCAAACACATGACCATCGCTAAAAAAAAAATTTGCCAGCCAAATTTCGCAATTTAATGTGCAGACTGATGCCACAAACGAAACTCATAACACTTTCTGTACGCTGCACGCGATGTCTCGCATTTATGCCAGACCTAACACGAAATTAATTTCAACGTCAAAGTTGAATAATAAAAAAATATCTTAACTTTCACATACATACATATGTATGTAGATATGTAAATGTTGCATGCCACAAACAAAAGGGTAACAATGCACAAACAGAGAAAAGAGCAAATATGTACACTTAGAAAGAAAACATTTTACTCATTTCACGTGCCACTAATTCTTGCACTGCTGGCACACTTTCTGCACGCGGACACACACACACACACACACACAAACAATGCCATTTAGTTACATATTTATATGGGGATATGCGCCAGAAAAAATTGCATAGGTGTATAGACAGAGTTGTATTTAATGTGTATATGTATGTATGTACATACGCAGGTGGATGGATACTCATGTCATTGGGTCAGCGCGGGGGCGGCGGCGACCGGCATCACGCACACTAGCTGGCGTGCGCGTATTGCACGAATCATTAAAAATGCATTAAGTGCGCCCACACACGCACAAACAAAGAAGAAAGCGAAAAAAATAAAATGTAAAAAAATGGAACAAAACAAATCTGAAAGCGCTGGAATTTAGGTATGCATACACATGCATAGATATGTGTCACACTGTAAAACTATGCTGACAATAAAAAATTTGCGCAAACAAATCCTGACCCAGAAAAAGAACTGAGTCATTGAGGCGCGACATACAGCGCTACAAAATGTATGCGAACGCAAAATAATTTTTTTTTTTTTTTTTTTTACATTCCACGCTGCAATTGGCGTTCATCATACGCTAAGTACTCCGACTGAACAAGTGGGCCAACATGACCATTGCCTTGTTGTTGTTTGCTGCGATAGTCAAGTGCTTGGCTCGGGTTACGCAGACCGACCGTAAAGTCGGTCTATTAGGGTGGAGTGCGTATTGTGTTCTTAAGCTTCTTTTTATGAAACCGAGACAACTACGTACGTTTCCAAATACTTACCTGCTCAGTACAAGTAGGATGCATTCATTTGTGGGCATTTGATTCAAAGGAGCTCTCTCACTTATCCACTGTGGGTGTCACTCATTCGAATTGTACGTTTACCCAGCATCAACAACATCGGCATCAAATTCGTTTTCATCAGCTCGGCTCTTCGCAATTGCTCTCGCACATCGTTCGCAGCTGCTCACATTCGCATCCCTCCGCCTTCATCACTGTGACTGGTTGCTCTTGTCGTTGCCTGCATGACATTTGCCTTGCAAAAACTCGTTGCTTGGCAGCAGGAATGCATTTGTTTTTTTTCTACCCTGCTGCTGTTTATTTACTTATTTGTAGCGCGTCTCTGTTTTTCTCCTCGTACGAGTATGTATTTCTTTTTTAGTTCATGTGCATTCCTGACAAATATCATTTGTACATGGCTTAATTGCTTCAAAGCAAAGTGCTACTAGCATTGCTACCACTGCTCTATAAAACTGCACATACACTTTTCCATGCGACAACTTGTAACCATAAATTTTTTATGACAGTTCACAGTCAACAGAGTTGGGTTGCGCTTGAGGTAATATTTGAAAAATTCCACTCAAGAAATAAACAAAGAGAAAGAATGCAACACAAAAGTAGTACATTTATACGAAAGGAGTTCGTAACAGAGTTAGCAGGTAACAAATGTTGTGTCGCTATAATGTGCTTTTTTATATACATACATACATGCATAGGTTAGGTTACAGTGGTTATTTCAGATAAAGCAGGCACTTGGACATTGAGGAGATTGTCCATTGTGATACCCAGAATATCTGAACGGAGAACATTACTCAACGTCAACGAAACGCCACGAGCTGATTACGAAATTACGAATGCTCCTTATTTCAATACCCAAAAGCTTTTCAGGGTTAGTCAGGCAGTGCGAGCAAAAATTAAAATTCTTAAATTAACCGCTTAATTAGAAATCGTACCTTTCACCTGTTAGAACCGCAACCAAAAGCGACCTCATGTGTTTTTGTTCCCTGAACACGAGTCTGAAGTCCGGTTTGCTCCTCCACTAAGTAAGGATTTTTTCCTAACCTCAAGAAATATGGCGGATTTTATGCGACGAACTTCAGATTCGTGCTCATCGCATCAAAATACATAAGGAAAAATAGTCTGATCCTCGAAACCTGATACATTTTCGTTGTGTGGCTACGGGACAGTTGTAAACAGCCACACACCCAAAAAAAACATCAGAGTTCCGGAACCACACTATCCTTTCTTTATGTATTTTTATACGCCGAACATGACTTTGAAGTCCGTTTTCTTTGTTTACGTTAACATCAAAAAACGTGCCTGTTACATAATAACCGCCATGTTTTTTTTTTTTTTTTTGTAGCTAGAAAAAAATGCTGGCTTGATGGAGCGAAACGGGTTCGGATTCATTATTCGGATTAAAAACACATGGGAATAGGCTATTCCTGTCAAAAGAACATGCATTTTTTTTTTTTTTGTTTTTTTGTGGGGCTGTGTAATCCAGCCAAGTAGAAACAGCAGATTCGGAACATCTACCGCATAATCTATGACAATTCAATTATACCACTCCTCCGCTCTGTTTAGACAACAGATTGTCCATAAGCATCCCAGAGAGGAGCGAATGGAAGGGTGATACGTACAGATGATTCAATGGTCAACGAAAGGGTGGGAATTAGCATTACCACTACATTTGTCCATGCCATTACCACCTTTATATTTATATTTATATTTATATTTATATTTATATTTATATTTATATTTATATTTATATTTATATTTATATTTATATAAAAAGAAATAGTTTTATTTTCTAAAGAAAAAACATAGATGACCAAAGACAAACGATGCTTTTCCGAGCTATAAACAAAGATCAAAGAAAAATTATTAATTTTTTAATAATGTAATAATTTTTTGCGGTCCCTGAAAAAACTTTTCAATCAAATATCATTTTTCTGGAATGTATTTTTTCCACCTAGTTTATTCGAAGGCGGTGTAAGAATTTAGGTCCCTCCATTTGTGTAACAACATCAAAATGCACATCACAAATTTGAGGCGTGGATCCGCCAAACACTTAGCTAAAGTGCGAACGCAAAAATATTAATATTATGATGGTGTATTTATTATTTCAGAATTGTCTTCGGTAGAAAAAGTGAAATTTTTAGTAATTTTTTGCCATAAAAGTAAATAACTTTTGTTAAGTTAGATTAGTATAACTGTTTCCATACTCAAAATCTCTGAATTAGTTGATGTAAGCCTCCGATGTTAAAAAAATAAAATAAAAATTGACATCCCCTTCTTCAAAAAACTTGTCTAAAATGTATTCGAATGTGTTATTTAACTAGGCACTTAAACTCAATTAGGTTTAAGGACACCAAACAGCTAAGCATTACATTTAGAAAACATTTTTACACCGTTGTCATTCGAAAAGGGCCTATCTGAAATCCGTTCATTCGCAAACAGCTTTCAGCAAAATATGTGTAAGCAAAAAAAATTTACCACATAATGTTTCCTATCATCAGCACGCAGGATGGGTATACAGCAAACAAACAGGCATTAACCATAATTTCCTAATGAAAAAAAAAATAAAAATTACATCAACCCGCACAATTATCATTGATGTGCGCCTAACACTCGAAAACGAAAAAAAGGTTACCACAGTCAATGCGAAAGTGTCAGCCGAACTGACAGGCACACAACAAAATTGACACTTTGCATACACAGCACTTGAATATTTAACTCACAGCAACAATAAAAAGAAAGCTAAAAGCAACAGAAAAAAAAAGATTGTTGTTAATGACATTTTAAGCGGCTAAGTAAACCCAAACTGAAATCCAAAGCCAAAGCAAGGGCCAAGGGTTATCTCACTTTAGCGCTGACGATTGAAAGCGACGGGCTCAATGGCAATAAAGCCCTTTTTACATGCTGAACGCAGATAGAAAAGCGAAAAGGGTCGTAGCAGGCAGAAAAATTTTAAAATGGCAAATACTCTCAAACGCACAAAAAAAAGTACAGGCTCTCAAAATATGAAAGGGTAGGAAAATGGATAGCCGAAAACTTTTATTCACAGCTTTTAAGACATCTACGAGTACATTTAAAGAGTTGTGCGTAACTTTTTTGCAACGCAGTGAAATTGAAAAAGTTACAAAATAACTTTAGAAAAGAAAATCCGTAGGCATTTCAAAGTATGAAAATGAAGCTGAAAAATCGATTTAAAGGATTATCCAATATGCTTTTATATTAACTCACACCAAGGGTGGGCGAGAAATTGGCATTGTGCATACTCGTAAAATGGGCTTTGATATGCGATGGCTTGAGGGCGAAATTTTTGCAACTAATACAAAATATTATGCTTAATGGGCATTTTAACATGCTTATTTACAAACAAAATAAAGGAGGCTCTTATCGGAAAGTTTCGTAGATAAAATCTGATCGAGGCGTGGGGAAAAGATGTACTTCGTTATTGCATCAGTTATTTTGGAAAAGTTTGCACAAACATAATTGCTACTTTAAAGTTGGAGAATTAATATAAGCAAGTGTGATGGTGATAATTAGATGACCACCGTAACCTTAAATTATTATTCAGCCTGCTGAATGCACCAAAATTTTTTGTAAGAACGAATAATTTTTGGCGTATGCCGATGACATCGACATCAAAGCGAAGCACTTGAAACTTGAGTGAGTAAAGACAAAACGAAATATGTATGTACTGCTATCATACAGAGTGTCAGCGCATTCCCGCCTCGGCATACACTCCACTGTTGACAGTGATATTTTGAAAGTTGTTGAAACTTAGGGAACAACATTAACACTGATAATAAGGGCAGTTTTAAAATCCATCGAATAATCGCGTTTGTCCACAAGGGCTTCTTTGGACGTAGTAGGCATTTGGCTAATATATGTGTAAGCGCCATTCTATTATTATTAAAAGAAATAATGCCGGTGGGCTTTATTTCATTTTTTGGGGAAATAAAGACGCGCGTTATTTCACTGCACCGCGTCTACGGGGGGTCCATTGTTTAAAATTTTTAGGGTTGATGCATAAACATAAATAATAAATACACATGAAATTTGAGCTTCATTGATACATTTTTTTAAATTTTACAGCACAAAAACAAAAATAAATCGATTTAATATTTTTCCAAATATCTCGAAAACGGGGTGAGGAAAAAATTAAAAAAAAAAACCACACACATCAAAATTCTCTATGAAGAGAAACATTTAAAAAATTTTTTGCTTCTTGAAAAATTTTTCACACAAATTTTTTGATAAAAAAAAATTGTTTTTGAAAATATGCCATCTCAAAAAAAAAAATTTAAAAAATCACAATGGTAGCTCTGAGTATAGCGCAATATTTAATAATTTAATATATTTAACTATAGTATTATGGGTTGCACTCTACAATAATTTGAGTTATGATTTTTTTTTTTACACCGAAGTTGAGAAATATAAGTACATTACAAATTAAAATTTTTTTTTTATTTGTTTTAGAATTATTTTGTGTCGGCAGTTTTGTAGCCCATTATATTTTAGTACAATAAAGTGCTAGTTTTAAGCGATTGCAAAGCTGGCGTTAATTTTTTTTTTTTTAATTTTCTTTGAAAACGATTTTGCACATTTTCTTCCATAAGAAGAAAGAGCAAAAAGCCACCAGCACTTTATTAAAATTTAATCGGCTACAGAACTGCATACACAAAAAAATTCGAAAAAAAAAATTAAATTTTTTTAGTTGGTAATGTTCATTTTTCTCAACTTCGGTGTAAAAAAAAAATCACAACTCAAATTATCGTAGAGGGGTGCACTCTATACTATAACTATACTACTATAATACTATACTTAAATATTGCGCTATACTCAGAGCTACCATTGTGATTTTTTTAATTTTTTTTTTGAGATGGCATATTTTCAAAAACTATTTTTTTTATCAAATATTTGTATGTGAAAAATTTTTCAAGAAAATTGGAAAATTGTTAAATCGAAATTTTTTGTTGTTTTTGTGCTGTAAAATTTTTAAAAATGTATTAATCAAGCTCAAATTTCATATTTACTTATTATTTATGTTTATGTATCAACCCTAAAAATTTGAAACAAATCAAACACATAAAGTGTGACCCCGTCCGTTTTGGTATGGAACGCCCCATATATGTACTTATGGAGTGGTATATTCAAACATACATTCATATACCCATAATTTTATGCTTAGATTTCCGTTTAAGTGCACAAGTTTTAGCAATTCATCTGGTTAATTTATTGACTACGTACAAAACAAGTCAATTTAACGTATCTAGCCATTGAAGAGCTCATACACGCCTTAATAGCTAACCACATGCGTAATATCGCCATGGGCATAGGCCGGCCTTTATGCGAGATATGTAAAATTTTTGCAACGATGCTCATTTCTCGCAACAAAATTGTTCCCCAAGGCATAATATTCGAACTTTTAATGTCAGTGATTTATGTACGTGCAGTTAAATAGACATACTTAAGCGCAAACTTGTTTATCTTTTTATTTATTTGCGGAAATTGTGGTTAGATTGAGGCATCACAAAGTAGCGTGTGTGCATAAAAAACATTACTTAAACACGAAAGTTTAGTAATAAATACTGGTCTTAATGGGTAAATAAAAACTATCAGATTTCACATTTCTATCAGTGAAGAATCTTGCTTTTCAATTTCGGTAGATTTAGTATATAGATATATTTAAATTTATAAAATTATTATTTTTTAATTAATTAACATATTAGAATTAATTGATTAAATTAAAAAAAAATAAAATATTTATAAATTTACATAAATTTTAAAAAATAAGTTATTTTATAAATTTAATAAATCAAAAACTAAGTTGTTTTAATATTTTTATTAAATACTTAAAATATTTGCGATAAATTTGAATGCAGCTCTATTTAGCAGCAATCCCCACTACTCCTGCTGTAGCCCAGCCATACATATGTATGTACATTAGGGCGGGCCCGCGCATCGACCGCAAAGTGGCCCACAGCACACTAGTCGAATAAGACCAATTCTTGTGCAAAATTCTGGGATCGGCAAAATGGTTTGGTGCATATTATTAGATAATGAATCCGTTTAAGCAAAAGATAAAGTCAAATTTCATTTCTCGCAGCCCTTTAGCTTATCGTAATCTCAAGATTATTTGTTTTCAATAAAATTTGAATTGTTCTCTTGATAATTGCACTGGATTATACTCAAAAGATGTAAAGAACAGCTTTAATATTGCTGGCGTGCTGGCATGTCGCTGGTTCCAAATATTCTAATCTTTTTTTAATATTAGCTATAGTTTGCGATTTTTTGCAAATATAGGGACAATTTCGGTTACTCTAATAGAAAAGCCATTATTTTCCATCATCGTGGAAAAATTTTGTTTAGGCAAATGGGTCTGGAAACACTGAACAGGCACAACCTCTTGAAACACTAATTGGTTTACTTATATTTATGCATACAATATAAAAATTGCAAATATAAGAAAATAACAAAAAACTTTGTTAAATTTTTTTTTGTTTTAAAATAATTTGTTTATAATCTGAGCGATTTTAATCATATTATTATCAAAAATCGGTAGCATTAAGTCTCGCCTTCAATTTGGTAAATATTAAGTACCGATCGAGTAACACTTACCAAAGTTATATGGAAAAATTTAAGTGGATCTCCAGCTTTTTTCTAAAAAAATTTCTCTTAAATTGTATAAATAACTTTTAAATGAAAGAGCCGGATTACGGAAAAGGGTGTCAGGGAGTGACTTTTTTCGTTCAAGCTAAATGCAAAGCAATATCGTCCAATTGGAGAGTCCTCAAAAGGATTTCCCAGGATATGTTAAATACTATTGCATTTACCTACAGTCACTTTTTCACATCATGGAATTAACTAAAATATTTATGTATATCTAAACACTTATTGCACGTCCCCTACTTTCATATAACGGCAGAATTAGAGACCGCGAACAATTTTCAAGACTGCATAAATGGACTTAAAATGGGCGTTTCTCACCCTAATTGTATTATGTTAATGTATATAAATACTTATATACTTGAAACTACTATTAACTTATCAAACGATTCGTAATCTTTGACAATACATGTTTGACTTCATTCACCACAATCTTGGAAACTGACCAAATCGGCCCATGGCTCACTTAATATTATATAAACATCCGAAAATATTAGAACGTTTGAAATATATCTCGTCTCACTTTTTTGAATTTTTCACTTGGTTGCTGAAGCAATAAAGAATTGAAAATTCATAAAGGAAAATTATAGTTTTTGTGAGTTTTATCTTAATACCTTAAAAACGTGTAGACTTATTGAAAAATGATAACTGAACGTGAAATACTAAATTTAATAACCCTTAATTTGATATATCGTCCTATTTATAACAATTAACTCATACCATAGATATTACAAGCCAAAGTTAAATTTTAAAAATTCATACACTTTGATTCAATTGCGCGGGCTAAAGATAAGTTTTAAATTAATCTTTCGTGGCCAATAACAATTGGCTTAGACCTAAGACATCATAATATTACTATTACAATACGGTCAAATGCCTTTTATTTTCCCCCATACAAAATCGACCCAGCCTAATGTACATATAGTAAATTTTGAAAAGAGCCCACATAATTCTTTTATACACTTCTAAGCCTTCACTTTAAGCAACAGCTGGCAGTTTTCTACTTGCCATACTTTCCTTTCCACATTCGTTGCACACATATGTATGTACTTATATGTTTACCTCTCTACCGCCCGACATCACAGCTTAAACTCATTTCAAATGCAATGTTTGTAAACTTAATTTAAAAGCTACGACAGAAATCACTTCAACTCACAAATTGCCTTACTGACTTGCCAACTGCCATTTTAACCGCTCTCCACAACATTCTTCAATTTCTTCAACTTCGCAGCCAATTATTTGTTGGTCCTGACTGTTGAATGCGGCTACTTCTTTGGGTTGTCGGTCGAAACTACCTACCTATGTAACTATATGTGTGCATATGAAATTTATTATGGCTCAAGTTTGTGTAGGCATACATAAACTTCTAAGTATGTATTTATGTGAGCATTAAATATTTATTTGCATATATACATACATACGCTTGCAAGTGTACAAGAGTGTTTGTATGTACATCAGCTATGTTTATTTACATTTATAATCGGATTGGCAAGTGGAAGCAGAAATTCAAAGCTTCTGTTTTAGTATATTTTTCACAGCCTATACGAGCAGCCAATGCAACATAAATAACCGATACCCTGCAGGAAATAGTCCGAACTGAGCAGAAAACAAGCAATGGGTTTTCGGTAGTAGTGCATTGACAAAAGGCAAGGCGGAGATTTTAAAAATACTGAAATTATTTTCGCTTGGGTTTGGAAAGGAGTAAATAAACTCTTTGCTCACGGTAGGGGAAAATTTTGCGTTAACCATCACGCGTCACGCCAAAACGAATTCAGAATTAGTACAAATGAAAACAAATATAGTTAGCTGTTCTAGCCAGGCTGCTCGTTAGTATAGCTTGGGACTTTTTCATGACCATTTCGGCACTAGTTCGGAGTCTAGTTCATTAATTTTTCGGGCGTATTCAGTACGGAACTTGTTCGGAATTATTTCGGGCCTAGTTCAGGTCCAGTTGGGAACATGTTCAGGTCTTTTTTGGGTCTAGTTCTAAACCTTTCCGGTAAAAGTTCTGGGCTTTTTTGAGACTATTCCGTGGCTAGTTCGATGATAGTTGAGGACTTTTTCGGGACCATTTCAGGTCTAGTTCGAAGCATTACATATCAAATTGCATGTGTAGCTGGCACTCAAAGATTTTGTTAGCCAATCTTAAGTTTCATATGGAGGGTACTTGCGTTGCTAGTATGATCCGACTTTTCTGCATCTTTGTTATTCTACCCCGGAGGGCTTAGGCGACCCCATGTGACCACTAACTTAAATTTTTTTTCTGGAGATAAGTTTTTATTTTTTAATCCAAGTTTGAAGTCAAAGTTACACTTTTTTAAGTTAACGATATCCATACTATATTTGGTGAAGCCATCGTCTGCAAGAAAAATTCCACTAAGAGTCGTTTTTACCATATCAGGCATTCTTTTTCAAATCGAACACCAAATTTGGTGTCACGCTTTCGATTTTCTTGAATTTATTTTTTTTTTTTTTTGGGGTTTTATGTATACGTAAAATAACCTATGGATATCTAACCCTAAAACTCTCCTATCTATAAACAGTTGAAATTCTTGAAATTAATTAACATAGTGAAGACCAGTAAATTAGGGATTTAAAATCATACCATGGTTATTCTTGTTTAATTATCTATAAAATCATACTTTAAAAAAATGGGCAATTTTCAAGAACTATTTTTAAAATGTTTTTTTTTTCAAGATCAGTTGTTTTATTTTGAGAAATTCAGGAACTTTTTTTTATTTGTTTTCGAAAACTTATAATGAGCTATACTTAGGAAAGTGTTAAAAAATTAAAAGCACATTATTAGTCAGAACGAGGAAAAAATTCGAAATTTAACAAATTATATCTGCGAAGAAAAAAAAATCCTCGAATACGTGTTAGCTTATTTCGTGTGTGTATAGAACCCATAAAAAAAACTTGAAGCGAATCTCTGATATCATATTATTTTTTTCCGAAATCCGTCTGACTTAAAAAAGAATGCCTCATGTCGTTTTTAACACTAACTCCGATAACGATGTTTAACTGGGTATTAGTTTTTACAAGATATGGTGAAAACTGCCCTAAAAGTGTATGAAATTCAGCAGGCAATTAAGCAATAAAGACCCCTCTCGACGAACAAAAAACAACATTTTGTTCATTAGTCTAACATTACTATTAGAAAAATATTTTAAAATTAATGAAGAACGTAATTTTTGTTATAAAAAAAAATCGTCGAAAATACTTCGTATGTAAGAAAATGCATAACTCTGTCAGCAAAAACAAAAAAATGCCAAAAGTCAACGACAAGTCCTAGCTATATCCAACTTGCACTTGCTAAAATCGAATAGGATACAAAATTTTATATTCAAATTTTTTCTAAGAGATTTAATTTAAAAAATTTATTTTTTTTCAAAAATTTGTTGAGTGCTGTAACTTTAACTTTCATTTATTTATTTTTTCTTTTTTATTTTTTACACGCCATTAAGATATGAACATTCACTAGAAGTTTCTTGCCACGTATCTAATGAAATTTTTCTTCTTTATTTCAGGAGATTTCGAGCTCATACATAAGACAGAGTACTCGCAAAATGGGCTCACTGCAATAAAAAACTATTAAAGCAGTAATTGCAAATGAAAAGTTGTTTAACAGAATAAATTATCAGCATAAGCTGAAACTTACTGCTAAATAGTGCCAGCAAAACGGAACATGACTCCTCCACCCCAGTGTATTCAATTTGTTTGCCACTTTTCCCGCATATGTCGCACGCAATCAATATTCCGCCAGTAAACACAAATGTCCGGCCAATATATCCGGACCTCAATTCAAACGTGACACATGGCTATGTACTATTATGCTAGTAAAATATCGGCAATCGCTTGTGGAACACGTTGCAGACAAACAGTTTTACAAAAATCGCGCGGACAACGTGATCGCGATAAATCTGGACGGTCGCCGGACGATGACAATAATGTTGGCGCCG